TAATGGGCTGAAACATTTCTAAATGTGTCTGTTTTTGAAGACAATGCCATTTTTCTCGGGAAAGAAAATCGTTAAGTGACAAGTGAGCAACGAGCCTGTCCTTGTCAGTGTGCTTCTCAGCTGGGAAAACAGGTGTGGAAAAGGTTTAAATTAAGTGCTTCTCTGCACTGTGAGTCAAAATGTAAATGGTTCGCCTTCAGATGGTTTTGTTTTCCTCTTAGGGTTTTGCTCATTTTTGCTATCAAGTCCAGTCGTGCAGTATATAAGTGCAAAGTTCATAATGCATCGATTTCCTTGGTTGTAAAGCCTGTAATTTCATCACCATTTCCTGTACATCTCAGGATTTCCAATGGCTCCTATGATGAAGCCAGCCCTAGGCAGCCACCCCTCATTTCAACTCATTGGCCCATGTGCAGAGTCCCTCTGTGCTGAAAGCCATGTGCCATTTCATTGCCTCTGTATCATCATCCCAAACCCTGGGGAAAGGTTGTGCTGGGGCTTTGTCAGCACAGCAATTCACTGTTGTTGCTATTAGCTTTGTCCTTCCAGCCCCAGGTGGCTGTAAACCCTGCACTGTGTACAAAGGACATGCCACACCCCTCCCATCTCCTGTTTTTATACTCATTTTCAGATGTTATTAGGACAAGTTTCTTCTGAAAAAGAGCAGTGATGCACTGGCACAGCTGCCCAGCAAGTGGTGGGGTCACCAACCCTGGAGGTGCTCCAGATCAATGGGAATGTGGCACTGAGGGATGTTGGAGATGGGCATGGTGGAGAGGGTTGGGGTTGGACTTGGGGATCTTAGTGGTCTTTTCCAACCTGATTCATTCTATGATTCTGATTACATAAAGCGCTTAAATACACCAGCTCAGGGAGAAAGCCAAATCCTGCTCTGTCTTGTGTTGAAGGCAAAGGTAGAGACCAGCCCAAATCTTTCTCACCTAGGGAAAATGACTGTTCTTGTCATGGAAAATACCAAGCAGGTCATATCTATCACCTTCCTGTATTAAGAAACCAATGGCAATCCAATGTAAATCAGGCAATATTTACCAGGGTAAGTGGAGTACTTAGTGGTGTTTGATGCTCTCTATAACTTCCTGAAGGGAGCTTGTAGTGAGCTGGGGGTCGGCCTCTTCTCTCGTGTCATTAGTGATAGGACCAGAGGGAATGGTTTCAAGCTATGGCAGAGGAGATTCAGGCTGGACATTAGGAAGTATTACTTTTCAGAAAGGGTGGTCAGGCACTGGAATGGATGCCCAGGGAGGTGGTGGAGTCACCGAGCCTGCGGTTGTTCAAGGAAAGGCTGGATGTTGTGTTGAGGGACATGGTTTAGTGGGAGCTGTTGGTAATAGGTGAACGGTTGGACTGGATGAGCTTTTAGGTCTTTTCCAACCTTGGTGATTCTATGATGATTCTATGATTCTATGATTCATATTTATTGGTGCTGGGTGATTCATTTTTTCCCAGATTTGCGGTGATATTATCACACTTGGAAGAATAGGAACAATAAAGGGGAGTTGGACTGATTGACCTTTAAAAGCCCCTTCCAACTCTAAGGATTCTATGATTCTGATACTGGAAAGCGCAAAATTTTCAACAATTGTGGAACTGGTGGGGAGATGAATCTAGTTTTTATTTTTAAAAGCACAACTGAAGTTTAAAGCAGAAAGGGAGGGGTATCCTTCACTGCCCATGCTCCCTTTTAGCAGGTGCCTTGTTGTATTGATAACACTCAAGATGGGCATCAAGTTGTACCAGGGTAAGTTTAGGTTGGATATCAGGAAAAACTTCTCTACAGAAATGGTTGTTCAGCACTGGAATAGGCTCTCCAAGGAGGTGGGCGAGTCACCATCCGTGATTGTGTTTAAAAACCATCTGGATGTGGTGCTCAGGGACATGATTTAGCAGAGGGTTGTTCAAGTTGGGGTAGTAGGGTAAGGTTGCAGTTGGACTTGATGATCTTTAGGGCCTTTTCCTAAATTCTATGATTATCAAAAAACAAGTTTCTGAAGTGATGAAAAGCTGGTGCTGATGCTTGGCTGTGGTCCTACATATCCTCTGAGCCCAGGTTTGCTGTTGTTCTGCTCCTCATCATGTCTTTCACATGTAAAGCTTCCTGTGGCACACAGGGCTGAGGGATGCTGAGCCTTTTGGCTTTGAGGACATTGCATATGAAAACAAAGCAGTAATATGTTTTTTGGTTGAATGATCCTCTGAGTTCTTTTCTATATGTGTGACTAAAAAGTGTTGTGCAATCTTATAAAAACGAACCAGGAGATGGGAGGAGGCATTCTGGTCCCACCTAAGCTTTTTGGAGGGGTAAACTTTCATTCCTGTGATTGTTGAAAGCAGATAAAGCAGAACAGGTGCGGAGAACCTGACTCCAAATTACTCGTTGTGCAATGGTTTGGCTGCGATCTGAAGGAAGGCGCTGGGAATTACAGCATAAAGGCAGTCAGAAAGCAAAGAGCAATGGATTTTATATTGTAGCCTTTCAATTCCCTTTTCACAAAGTCTTTTGTGTACATTTAGGGAGGGGAGGAGAACTGGCTGCTGGTCCTGCCCATGGGAGCAGAGAAGGGTGCGAGGGTGACGCAGAACGCTCTGCATCTCTCCTCTGCTCAGGAAGGGATTCAAGATGCTCTAAGCCGGAGAAAGATCCACAGTGCACACAGGGGAAAGCTTGATTTCCTAACACAGCGGTGTGTTTTGCTTTTTATTAGCTATCTTGCACTGCAGCAAAACTCATCCCGGTCATAATCGTTCCCAGTGCCAAAGAAAGAAGTAAAATGCAGGAGCAAATAACTGCCTTTGTGGGTTCATGAAGACCCAGGCGTCTTTCACTTCTGAGTTCTGGCATAATAAATCCTGAAGTGCTTTTCTTCTCACAGCAGACATAGTTAATACAGCTGTTTGCTGGTGTGTCCTTAAGAGCAGACAAATGGCAACTTCTCAGTGGGCAAGCAGCAGAAGCCTGAAAACCCTGTGATTTTCCCCTCATTTGAGAAGCTAAGAAATAAAATGATATATATATCTACAGATTTTCTTCTTTTATTCTCTTTCTCTGTTTTCTTCCGGGACAAAATGCAATCAGCATTTCAGAACATGTCTCTTCAGATGGAAATGACAGCAGCTCACTCACACCACCTGCCCTGACACCAGAGAGGGGCAAGTGGGCAAGATGCATTTCCTACCCAGCAGCTCTTCTGCAGAGGGAGAAGGGGCCTATGGGGATGCTCAGGTGTTCTGGGCCCTGTAAACTTGATGCTGTATAAATGCAGCCTTCCTCTCCTCATATTCTGCACCCCCCAGGACAATCCTTAGCAGGACACAGTGAGCATAGCAGGTTTCCCTTCTGTTTCTTCCAGTGCAATCACAGCTGCTGACTTTTGCTTGTCTGCAGATCCAGCTGGAAGCTCAAATCTCCTTTTATTTTCTGTATGGGTTCCTAATCTGGAAATGGATCTCATTTGCTTTACTGAATTACAAGCAAATTAAGCTGAACACATTGTGTAATGCCCGGATGTGTTGCAGGGTTCTAGTGAAAGAGAAAAAAGAGTGTAATTGCTTCAAGTTTCTCCTTTCCTCAATATCAGTAACTTTGTGTTCTCAAAAATATAAAATGTCTCTATTAACAGCGGAGGTTTTGCTCGGGGCCAGGAGCTGGAGCTGCATCTGTCTCACATCTTTCATCCTCTCAGCCATAAAAGAACATCTCTGCCAACATCCCGAGCTCTGTTCCCTTGCAGTTCCTCCCTTCACAGTCAGGCACACTTTGGTTATCTGCAGTATTGCTCTTGATGGTATTATTAAATAGTTCTGATCATTTTCCTGTTGGCAATGGCTTTTTCCTCTCAGATGGATTTTTTTTTTTTCCCTTGGTTGTAAATCAGCTTTAGAGCCTCGTATGTTTAAGGAGAGTAAATACCTCAGTGCTCCAAATGAGACAAGTATTTTGCATTTTCATTTCCTGACCCATCAGGGAGAGTTTCATGCAAAATGCAAGAGAAACATCAAAATGATGAAACAGCAGTGTTTATGGTTTGATCTCTGGTTAGCACAGCTGATGTCAGACAAACTACCAGTGCTCCTCAGACTTTGCAAAGAGTGAACTCCAAGAGGGCAGACCCTTTATAGGTCATTTCTCAATGGCCAGTTGAGCTTGCTGACAAACACTCATCACCTGAGGTTTTGTGCGTTTTTTTAGTTTACTGATTTGATGAGATCTGAAAACCAAGGGATGAATCTTGCCTGAGGAGGATAGGCTGAGAAGAGAAGGCTCTGGGAAGGGCTGTGAGTAACCTGTCAGTACCTACAGGCCGTAAGGAAAGAGGGGACAGACTCTGTAGCAGGGTCTGTAGTGACTGGACAAGGGAAAATAGTTTCAAAGTAAAAGAGGGGAGATTTAGGCTGGATATAAGGAAGAAGTTTTTTTCCAATAAGGGTGGTGAGGCAGTGGCACAGGTTGCTCAAAGAGACAGTGGGTGCCCCATCCCTGCAGACACCCAAGGTCAGGCTGGATGGACTCTGAGCACTGATGGAGCTGTGGGTGTCCCTGCTCAGTGCAGGGAGTTGGACCAGATGGCCTTTCAGGGTCCCTTTCAACTCCAACAATTCTATGCAACATCAAGTTTGGTTTCCTTTCACCACACCACGTTTATTCTGATAGCAAGGAAACCTTTCCTCTTCCCAAAGGTTGTTTAACAGGACTGATTTGCAAGGTTATTTTTTAAGCTGAGAACAATTATAAACTCTGACTGTGATAATTAACAGTCACAAAGCTTATCTTTGGGGAAAGCATAGCACGCAGTCCTATTTTAGTCCTATTATAACGTGGAGGGAGAAAAATAATGTCAACCTCCACCAGTACTCAGAGCAGGAGCCTTGCGGAGTGCCTGCGTAGGGCGTGAGCTGCCATGCAGCACGGGAGGTGTGTCATTTTGGCAAACAGAGAATGTTGTGACGCAGAATCAAACTGTCAGCAGCCAATGTGTGAAAGGGTGTTCCTCCCTTCTCACAGGAAGTGATAGTTTTGTAAGCCCAGGGTCAGCCTTCTGAGACGGTCCACCAGGATGCTGGGGAGGATTTTGGGCCGTGGTCCAGTGGGGTGGTGCAGGTGGGGGGCTCACCTGCACCCCTGGGACCTCCATGCTGTTCCACCACTGCTGTGCTGTGCCAGAGGTGTCGGGAACAGAGCCAGGGTTGCGCAGGGTGCAGTGCTGCAGACAGCTGCTCCAGGTGGGTGGAAGTTCTTTGGTCGCTGTTTTGTGCTGCAGAATGGGGGGAGAAGGGTTTGTGCAGGGAACAGCTGGGAAATGATCCCCGTTCTGTGCTGTTGCATTGCTGTGTTGGTGCTATGGATGCTTTTGGGGATATGGAGACAATTGAGAGTTCCAAGTAGGGGGAGAAAGTTTTTTTTTCTGTGTATTAAATAGTTCTGCTTCTGTGGTGGCAAACACAAAGTGATGCCTTATGTCCGAGAATCTGTTAGCTAAAAAAGAAAGTGAAAGTTCCTCCTTGCAGCTTGCTGCCAGCTTTCTGTAGGTGGGTGGTGCAATCCCCACTCCCACAGGTACAGTGCTGCCACATCCCATCCATCCCCACCCAGAGCACTTTGGAAACCAGCGATGTGCCAGTTCAGAAGGGGACGCTGCAATGCCTCAGTGCAGCGACTTCCAGGCAGTAGATTTGTTTGTTGCTCCTTCCAATGATAATGATGTTCCTAACTGTGGTTGCACATCCTTCCAGGCTGGTCTTCCCACCAGGGAGCTGCTTGGTGCCCACTGCAGATGAGGTTTCTGCACCAAATTCCTCGCCCTGGTGAGTACAGACTGTGGGGCTGCCAGTGCTGCCACTGGTCTGCTGCATGGGACTTTACCCGTATCTCCTTGGGATTGAAACCTGTCCTTTTAGCAATCTGCCCATCTGCTGATCAAATTCAGACTCATTGATATTTCAGATTCACCTCTGGTCTCCCTGGCACTGTTGAAAAACAAAACAAAACAAAACAAAACAAAACAAAAAAAAAGTAGGAGAAGAAATAGATTAAATTTACCTGCACTGTAAGGATGCCAAGATTTATACCTGGAATTGTTCAGCCTTTTATCACCCCTGGTGTGCATGAGCAGGTGTGGAACAAAGGCAATCAGTGTGATTTCACCATCTCAGTGCAGGCAGGGAGAGATGCTCTGTGCCCTCAGCAGCAGCCAGACAGTATGGGATACTCAGACCATGCATCTTTGTATCCATCCCTTCCTGCATGGCTTGGTCACCCATAGCATGCTTCTAAACACCAGTCCCACATCACAGGGCACCATCACCCAGCATCTTGTTTGCACCCTGCCTGGGTGTGCAAGCAGTGGTTGCCTATACAGGTGCACAAGGCAAAAGCCAGCATTTGGGCTGGCTTCCCCTATTTCCAAAGGGGACTGTGGCCTCACTGTGGCCTGTCATTGCTCTTGTTTCCATCAAGAGGCGCTGGAGTCCCTTTCTCATTATGCTCACAGTGACAGCATGCTAATGACATCGCTGCAGCACTCTTCTGGTGTGTCATGTATCATCATTAGAGTACAGCAACCTGGTACCCAGCTTGCATGAGAACTACAGCCTCCCACCAGGCTGTACTTTCACAGACCTCATCTCTCCATCAGTCCTTTCTGAAAGAGATGCTGTGGAGGAGTTACTGGTGCTGCTGGCAGTTTGCTGAGCTCCCTGTTGGAAAGCAGGATGCAAGCAGGGTGACAGCATGCTGTGGGGTGGGTGATTGCAGCCCCACATCTCTTCCCTTCAGAATAGGGAAGACTGGGGAGATTTTTAGTTTAAAACCTACCTAAAATAAAGAAAATAATTTTTAAAACTGAGTAAGTTCTAAATATAACAAAGCATCTCATCCCAGCTGCTGGTTCTTATTGACATTAGAAAGCATGTTTGGCTCTCAAAGAATAGAAAAGTGCTGTTCTAAATTTTAAGACCCCTTCCCCCTTAACTGTATTGGTGTTGGCACAGCTGCGCAGGGACTGGTGGGGTCACCATCCCTGGAGGAGTCCAAGAACCGTGGGGAGGTGGCACTGTGGGATGTGTGGGCATGGTGGGGTGGGGTGGGATTGGACTGGGTGATCTTAGAAGTCATTTCAGCCTTGTTGATTCAATGGCTTCTTTTTTTTTTTTTTTTTAATTCTTAAGCTTTGCTCACTCTTTTCTTTTGCAAAATCTCTTCAAGCATTCAAAAATGAAAGAAGGCCTACAAATTTTGACAAAAAGGTGTTGGTGTGGGCAGGACGCTTTAAAAAGGAGGAGGACATTCCCAAGTACATAACGTAAGTAGACCTTTTTTTCTTTTGATATTCATTTAATTTTGCTGAGCGGTACTGTTGGAGGTGAGCATGCAGATGGAGACCCCAGCCTTCTTAGTCAGAAGGCTGCTCGCATGGTTGGTATTTGTGGACTGCCATGCCAATGATGCTTACAGCTTCTGGTGTCCAAAAAGAATCCCAACTGTTGGGAGCATGAACTTCTTGTTTTGCCTCTGATGTAAATCGGGTTCGCTTCTTTTTGTTGTCATCCATTTCAGACTCATCAGAAGTGTTTTTTGCAAGGAAGTGGCTCTGTAGTTCAGGAGTCACCATGGTAAAACGTCATCCACATTGGGTTTTTACAGGTTTTGCTAGCTTTTATTAAAGGAACGTTAGTGTTATTCACAGATCTGGTGGAAAACGTCTGCAAAGAGTTCCTGGTTTCTGGTCTGTGGTTTTACCCACAGATGATCTTGCTGGTTGTTTCCAACCTTGCGATTCTATGATTCTAAATGACCCCTTTGTCAAGGTATTTTGTTACAGGGTTGTGTTTCATTTCAGAGTCCCAGTGCCCCCTGCGTTGTGGGGTCCTTAGAGGTTGGCCTTTCCCTTGCAGACATAATGGAATCCACAGCTGGATATGATTTCATGAATGACTCAGGCCTTGCAGTCTCTTGCAAGCATGAGTGGTCAGATAAATGCTGTGAGTCACTTGTGGAAGGCGATGGAGATTTCTCAGCAGTGGCTGTGAGAAGCTGCTTGGGACGATGACTCTGGGTGGATGATGGTCATCTGCTCCTGCTCAGCCTTCCACTTCATGGTGCACAGACAGGCAGCTGTTGGAAGATTTGGGGGTTTGTCACCCAGCTCCTCACAATCTCATTTCCCACATGCTGCTGCAGGATGGGAACTCTGCTCTGTCCTCTGCAGGTCTGAGGTTTTGGATGCAGCAAGGAACGCTGTGAGGATAAAGGTTTGCTACATCATGATTGCACTGACCTTGCTGGGTTGCTTGGCTATGGTCATCACAGGCAAAGAGGTGAGTAATGTTTTTTGGGTAACACACTTATCAGGTGGTCTACGTGGGCTTTCTTTTTAAATAAGCACCCAGTTGACAGGCTTTGAGATTAAGTCCATATTAGCAATATTAGCATGGGATTTCTCTTGCCCCATTCTCCAGGGGAGAGGTTGGCATGGGGAAGCACAATTTGCTTGTTAGAATGTTCCTTCTGGCACACTTCACCATAAACTCATGTGCTCAGTGCCTCCATATCACGGTGTTTCAGCAAGTCCAAAGGTTGTGGAGTAGCTCAGATAGTGTTGGCAGAGCCTGCTTCTGCCCTGTGGCCATGGGTAATGGGTTCCTGTGGTTCTGCCCAGCATGCCACCATGGCCACATGGCTGTGATGCTTCTCTTCTCCTGTGCCACATGTATGGAAGGAGGATCTGCAGCCCAACTGGCACATCCTAGTTGCAAGTGCACTGTCCTACCTTCTTCCTACCTGCTCATGCACGTCTAAACATCATGCAATGTAATTTTTCTGCTACTTAGAAGCTTAGAATGGTGAGAAATTGGTAAAATAAAGAAGCACATTCATGTCTTTCATCATGAAATATCAGAGAGGAGAGTGGGGTGTCAAAGCAAGTGGTACAAACGAAGGGAATTTTGGTGGTAGGAAATGTATGCATGCAATGTTTTTCACCATTTCTTTCCAAAGGCTGCTAAAAAGGATCACACACTGCTGAGGATGAATGAAGAGAAGAAGGCTAAATGGAGGGCTGAAGCAGAGAAAGATCACGAGGCAGCTGCTGTGAAGGCACAATGATCAGGAACAGGTTTGCTTTAACAGCAGGAGAGAAGTGATTTGCACACATGCCATATGTACCTGTCTTCCTTTTACTCCTTGGATCTTTCTGCCTGCAACTCTCTCAGAGTAAAGGCTGCTCCATGTGAGCTGTGAAGTTCTGGTGGAAACCCCAGCAGCTTCCTTCTGTGGCCTCTGGTCTTTGGTACTGGGTTCAGCTAAAATAAAGACACCTCCTATGAGCTGGGAAGTGTGAGGGCGATGGGTGGAAGATTGCACAGCTCAGGATCCATTCCTCATGGTGCTGCTGCTGCTCAGCGTGGTCTTTGCAGGCAGGAAGGATGCAACCCTATGTCAGAGAGCATCCCAGGCTGTGCAATTCCTCTAATGCACACAGGCTTGGCCAAAGGGATCTGGGGCAGAGGGAGAACAGGTCTGAAATATGTCCTCAAACCAAGAAGAGGTCTCTTCCTCTGACTCTGCTGTCATTGCTGTCCCACCCCTCTCCTTAGCCCCTCACAGGGACACATGAGCAGGTGGAGGGTATGAGCAGCCCTGGTGACTGAATCGGGCCAAAAAGCCTTTGGGTCAGAGGAGCTGCTGTGAATGTGGGGTGGCAACATGGGCTCACGGCGTGGTTTGGTGATGGTGGACAGCTGCCCTCCCAGGAGCAGGGATCCTGGTGAGGTGCACTTCCTATCCTGTTGCACTTCTTTGCTTTGCTTTTTCATCTTCTGCTTCCAGTCGTTGGCATGGAAGCTCCCTAGCACTTGCTTAGTTGTGATTTTAGTTAGGATTAATTGCTAATAGATGGTTTGCTAAAACTGAATTCTTTCTAATCACCATAGTTCATTAACTCATAATAAAACAGCTGTCCAATTACATCTAAAACAAACACTTCTCTTCACAGCTTCATTTAAAGTGTCACCAAACTCTGAGATGATGCTTAATGGGAGAGATCCTCGAAATATTGAAAGTTCCATTTTCATAAAGTCATTAAACTTTAAGACAGACCTCAGCTTACCCCTGTGGTCCGAGTCTCCGTGCATCATTCATATCATAGAATCATTAATGTTAGAAAAGACCACTAAGTTCATCAGGTTCAACTGTGAACCCATCACCATCAGGCCTGCTAAAACAGGTAAACCCTTAAGACCCATAAGTTGAGCCCACAGAGCTGGATATGCTGCATGGGGTACCAAGGGATGTGGAGCAACAAAACCCACCATCTCATCCCAACCACCAAAGGAGGTGGCAAACGCTGTAACCGTCTCAGCCTTTCTGCTACACATAATCACACCAAGGCTTGGCTCTGCTGCTGCAAGGTTTGTTACCTGGACCATGTATATTTGGTTCCAGCAGTCTGGAAGATTCCATGGAGGTGTTTGGGTTTATTGTGCCAAAAATGATGGTCCACTCATCACTGGTGTGTCACTCCATGAAGAAGCTGCTGGCAAGGGTGAGCTCTTCCCCAGGGCTTGGGGTCAGTGCTCAGCAGATGTTGGGCTCTGGGGCTCCTGGATCTGTGGTCTTCGGGTGTTTGGTAGTGGAGGTTTCTTCCTTCTGCACACCTGTGGAGGATGAGGAGCTGTGTGAGGGGACGTTACATCTGTCACATCTTGGTGTTTGCAGCCCTTGTTTCTGACTCACAGACCCATGCAGTACAAATTGTAAAAAGTGATGTCTGCTCCCTGCAGTATTCCTCACAGTGCATCTCAGAAAAGTGAAAATAATGGTCTAGGACAAGTGCAGAGTGAGCAAGTCTCTGATGAGAAGACAGTTCTGCTGGCACAGGTAATCCGTGCTTGTTGGGTGGATGTGACCTGGTTTCCTTGGTTAGTGCACTAACCTGGAAGAATTTCCTCAGAGTTAATGTTCACATGAGGATAAACTAAAACACTCAGTCCCCTGGATAAGTTCTGAATTATTAAATGGCTTTCTTGGGCCCTTGCTAAGAGGACACATGTAACATTTAAAGGAGCCCATTCTGATGCTCATAAACAAAATCACTTCCACATTCTGGACTTCCCTGACTAAAGCAGAAAAGAAGATGGCGACAACAGTGATCAAAGAACAAACACATTAACAGTGACTTGTTCTGTTCTGCACTTTCCTGTGCCTGGGAGAAAACAAATAAGCAGCCAACCCATTTCAGATATGGGCTATTTTCAAATCCTCTCGAACAACCTTGGTCTCTGTTGTGTAGTGCATAAAGCTGCTGCACTACACGTTGTCAGTAAGAAGAAGGAAAAATCAATTCTTCCTCCCTGATCCAGTGACGATGGGCCATCTTGGTTTGATCAGATGACCCAGCTGCTTTTGGGCTCTCACAAAGAGCAGTGAACATTATGTAAGGGATAATCCTTTTCCAGTGCTGGCTACAAGATAATTCATTTTAATATAGCAGTATTCACCCTCCAAAATCAGTCAGATGAATCACTGGCTTGCACTCTGCTGGTGTAGCACAGCCTCATCTGGAGCCATTCCCTGTAGTAATGGGAGATGCCAGCAGAGGACATTGTGCTGATGCCTCTCCAGCAGTGGGACTTAGCACTGCTCACTAAAATCAGGATCTGTTTGCAGAGTCCTTTGACTCTCCTTTGGAAAAGCTTCTAATTAACACAGCTTCCAAATCCTCACCACCTTGGGCTAGTGGCGTTTTTTATTTCTCCTCCATCTATATTGCTTCAGAGTCACGCCTGATCCAAGTCATTTAAAAAGGAGGCAGAAGTTGTTGTTAGGAAGAAGTGATTCTTCCACTTTTCAAAAACATGCCCTGTATTTCCCCAGCCTGGCCATAAGGCAGGGATGGAGCTGGGAGCACTGCTTTGCCACTAGGCTCAGGCATTGGAGGTGAGTCTTTTCAGCTCTCACCTCCTTGTTTATCCCTCTGCATCAGAAGGAAAGAAGTCTTCCACCCTTGTAGGGCTTTTGCCATTTTAATAAACTCCTACGTAGAAATGGCTAACAATGGGCTGTAGGCTGGTGCCAGAGAGCTTTGTTTCATAGTGATCGCTGGGGAATATTTTGCTTAGTAGCTGGAGTTTACCTAATTCTGCTTCCATTAAAATCAATGTTGTGATTCCTCCTGGCTGTGGATTAGAGATATTATCCACTGCTTTTGGAAATCCATCTGTTTTACAGAAAATTGCCTTCCCCAGGATAGCTGTGGGGCAGCAATGGATGCACCCGAGTTTTCTTCTGCTGCAGTGATGAGGTCTCTGATGACCTCCCAGTGCATCAGACAGAATGTGAGATGGAAAATTTGAGCTCCAGAGATCCTCGACCCTTCCTTGCTCATTTTGCCTCTCTTTTTGACTCATTCGGGAGTTTATAGTGACACTTGGTTTCCTCCCACCCGTCTGCTACGAACTGCTCCTTTCTGGTATGCATTAGATCCCATGCTGTCCTGCACTTGCAGGATCCCTGATTTCCCTAGATGCAAACAACATCTTGCCATTCAGATCTCATTTTAAAGCCTTTCCTGTTTAAAGTCTTCAGCATTTTTTCTCCCACCAAGCTGGAAACTGCTGCTCATTTAAAGGCAGATTGCACCCACACTCAGCTTCCAGGCTTTGGACGTTGTCTTCACTATGGAGTAGAAAACATGCCATCTCAGCTCTTTCCTGTGTGCAGCCGGTTGTCCCTCCTTTGGAGCTGGATTCCTGCTATTTTCAGAACACCTGTTGTTTCTGACTGTTGCTTGGTCGGTGTCACTGGCTTACTGGCCCATGGGGTGAGGCCCACTGGGTTTGCTCCTGTATCAAGAGATTTGCTAAGGTTAGAATCCTCTTCATAAACAATCAAAACGAATGTTATTAGCACTGAATCAATAACCTGGTCTAGTACTTTCGTGAGAAGATCTAAGAGCTGTTCAGACTTTTACCAGCTACCCTGGGGAATCCCAGTGCACAGTGGTGTTGCTGCAGAGGCTGTGTTGCTCTGTGCCTGAGGCTCCAATGCCTGCAGGAGCAGCATGACTGCAAGGCTGGGGGAAAGCTTTTGTTCCTTGGATCTGTTCAAAGGAGATTCAAGGTTGAAGGCCTCCTCTTTCCAGCCTCATGCTCCCTCACTGCAGCAAATAAGCTGTGGCTGCTGCTGGCCCAAAGGAGAGCTGTGCAGCTCACACCCATAGTGACTGCAGAGAGAGTTTAAATGCAGCTCTCCTGTTTGAATTTGGCACGAAGTCATTCTAGCCTAGCAGGGAAGCAAGACCAATGCTCAATAATTTGAATTAATTAAAGGATCATTCATTAATGCGCCGAGGTAGCGTTAAAGCAATTTTCCATGGTTAAGTGGTTTGACAGTCATTAGGGCTGTATGATTTATTGCAAAACCATTGTGACTGTCAGATGAGGAGTAGGTAAGTCCTGAAAGGCTCAGCACTCCAAATGGAGCATTGCACCTCTCTGCTCTGCCCAGCCATGCTGGTCCCACACCTGGGCTCTGCACAGAGGCAGCTGCTACACAGAAACCTGGAGCTTGGATCTGATTCTTCCTCTGGAACATTGCATCTCCCCAGTGAAGAGATCCAGGCCTTCTGCTGTTTGGTCGTGGGCTGTTATTTGCTGGGTGTGTGAGGGCTCAGGAGAGGAGGAGGGCAGACTGAAACAGGATTTAGCTGAGCTCACTCGTGGCTTATGCATGCTCTGCAATGTGAGCTGTTCATAGCAACTGCCAGGGAGGCTAGACCAGAAAATCAAGGGATCTGCATGCCAGTTTGTAATATGCAGATGAGAGATGGTCAGGAGACTTTTTGTAGATGAAATAGAAACCAAAATAGCCCAACGAATTAGTCATATGCTAATTACAATCATTGGTTGGTGTTTCTGCAGGCTGTATTAATGCACTGCAAATCACACACAGCTCTGTTAGCTGTTTTCTCGTGATCCTGGCATCATCCTGCAACAGATTTCTAACATCAGAGCTAAAGGGCATCCTCTAGGGATGCAAAAGTGCCATTAAAGCAATGCTACTCCAGTCTCCATAACAGTTTCACACCATACCAAGGGGCCAAAATCAGACTTGAAAGGTGGGAAGTTAAGCACCCAAGCATTTTCCTTGACAAACCTCAGTGTGAAGTAAAAGCACGACCATTGCCCATTGTGTTCTCCCACTCATTTCCATTTTTCTCCTCCCAGACCTGCTGTGTGGGCTGTGCAGGGGATGCTGTGAGCTGAGGACCCACTGCTGCACACGTGAGCTGGGGAGGCTGCGGGGCTGCACGCCCTGTGCTCTGACA